AGGCAAAAGGGAGCCATAGGGAGCCTCAGACCCCAAAAGAGGAGAACAAGAGGTTTTCAAATAATTTGAATTAAATTGTACATAAACCAGATTATGAGATCATAGACTCTGACCAGCATAATTTTATGCAAATATGGTTTTGGCAGATCCAAATCTACATTGCCCATAGCTGTGAACTATATAACATCAGAGGTCTCTTGTATGTGAAACCTAAACCCTGGGTTTCTCTTGGATTTCAAAGAACTGCTCAGATAGCAGTCAAAAAGAGATGTCTCTTTGATTGAGAACTTCCAGAGTTGTTAATAAGCAGCCTGGCAGACCCAACGCCTGGCTCCACATACAGGCAGTTTCTTAAGGTCCACACAGTACAGCACAAAGGCAGAAGTGAAGCAGTTTGACATGCAAGGCTTTTATGGCCTGCTTGTTTCCAAACGTGCAAACCATACCTGGCCAGGTGAGAGTGGCTTGACCGAAGGCATCTGGGAACCCTGGGCAAACTCAACTCATGCATCCCACTAACTTCTCAGGAAAGGTGCCAGGCTGCAATGTGAACTCCCAGGGCCTGTCTTACTGCAGCTGTAGACATCAGAGGCAAGAATCCTCCTGCCCTGTGATTGATCCCCCTACCCCAACCTCACCCCAACACACCTTCTTCATCAGGCAAGTGGCCAGGTGCAAGTTCTCCATCTGTACAGCAAGATGCAAAGGTGTTTGGCCACTCTGCCGTTCGGCTGCATTCACATCAGCTCCCTTCTCAACCAACAGCTCCAGAGAGGCTGGCTTCTTGTGCTTCACAGCCAGGTGCACTGGGAACAGGCCTGCAGAAAGAAAATGTTGGCAACTGACCCCTCCATCTTGCAGGATGGGACTGCGGCACTGGGAGGAAGGCTGGGAAGGCCCGTCGACAGCATTTGCGAGTGGAGAAAGTTTTAAAGCCCAGGCACAATCCAGCGTACCTCAGATTTAGCACACATACACTCAACATGCCTCTTGTTTTAAACTGTGCAGAGCTGGGCATTCTTATGATACTCAATCTGATCCCACCTGGACGGGGATAAGACCCCAAAAAGCAGGGCTTTCAAGCAATTCTAACGTCACTCACCAAGGTAGTTTGGCGTCTCAAGAAGATGGAGGGTATGGGGTCCGAGATGACAGAGCAGGATCTTTAGCATCTCCTCATCATCCAGCTGCAGGGCAAGATGCAAGATTGAATTGCCATAGCGATCCAGCAGGGTGGGATCAGCACCAGCTTGTAGCAAGAATCCTGCCACTCTGGGCTGACGGGTGATCACAGCCAGGTGCAAAGGTGTCTGAGGAGAGAAAGAGAGGACTCGCTCAACCAAAGTGATCTCATAACCACTCCAGAACTCCCTCTAGGATTACTGACTGCCCAAACCCCACCTGAATAACAAATTACAAAGTGGCAAGGCTGGGAATGCTGCTTCTGCATGAGCCAAAATCAGACCTTGGGACTGCCTGGGGACTCGATCAGTTGTGCTTGATTCAAGGAAATCAGATGTGCTCCTTGCTGTCACCTTTAAGTACCCCAGGGCTCACGGCAGCTACAGAGATGTTCACCAGACCAGACTTTATGTTTCAATAGGGATAGGGAACTAGCTTGTGCTCTGATTCACCATGAGACTATCCTCCAATACCATGGGGACAGCACAACAGACTTATAAGGCAAGCCAAATGAAAGAACTGCTATCACATTAGAAATGGACATGGGGACAAATATAAAAATGAATCAGGATATTCTGCGAATATCCCTGATTCGTCAGATATTCATTGCTTCGTGTTCTTGGGGTCCAGAGACCCCGAGAAATACAAAGCAACGAATATAACCCTTTTATATTTGTCCCTTCGTTCCCTCTCTGCTTATGCCCCCCACGGATCAGCTGTTCCTTGGAGGCCTAAGCAGAGAGGGAGTTCCCCTTCCGGCAGCTTATGCCCCCACGGATCAGCTGTTCCTTGGACGCCTAAGCAGAGAGGGATTTCCCCTTCCGGCAGCATTCTAAAGCCTGCCCAAAAGGAATCCCACCCCCAGGGATGGGGGATGGCTTGGGTCACACTTTTCCTCCTCTTCCTATGCCTCCACCACATAGGAGGAGGAGGGAAGGGATCAAAACGGGATCAAAACTATCTCCCAGCCCCACTGCCTTTGCAAAGACAGCAGGGGTGGGGGATCGCTTGGGTCCCCCTTTGATCCTCATCCTATGCCCCGGTGGGGATAGGAAGAGGAAGAGGAGTGGATGCCTGCCAGAAGTGATCCGTCACCCCAACGCATTTGCAAAGGCAGCAGGGCTGGCGGATCGCTTTCATCCCTTCCCTTCCCTTCCTATGATGCATGGCGTAGGAAAGCGGTGGGGGCTCAGGCTTTTATTTTATTTTTTTAAGATAGCCCCACGGTCTGTCCAAAAAAAAAAAACTGACCCGATGAATTGATTCACGGTTCGTCGGGCCACTGGGGGGTAATTTTGGCGCTTCACCCCCATCTCTAATTAAAGCTCTTCTTTTGGCGCTTCGTCCCCATCTCTAATTAAAGCTCTTAGAGCAAGTAGAAGAGGCTCAGACAGAATGAACAGGTGAAAATGGTGATACACCCTCACATACAGGAATATAGGTCGGACTGGCGGCTGCCCAGTGACACCATTACTATACCTGCTGCAGATGATTGGTAATGTTGATGATCCGTTGATTGGGGATGCTGACAGCCACCTGGACTAGCTGCGAAATCACAGCTGTCTGTTCATGGATAACAGCCAGGTGCAAAGGCCTGAGGAAAAAGACAAGGCCATGGACTTCAGACCAAGGAGATACAACCCACAGCTGCTGGGACCAGAGGCAGAAAACACAAGGGAGTCCCACCCCAAGCAGAATTGAGACTCCAAGCATGATTAAGGTTCAGGGCATGGCATCCGCTAATGGGAGAAAGCAGGGGCATTTCTATGCTAACTGGCAATTATGTCCCTTGTGCAGAGAGAAGACTAGGAATTTTTTTAAAAGGATGTAAACTATAGATCAGTGGAAGTATAGATAAAAACAAACAAACAAACAAAAAAGCAGTAACAGGTGCTCCTTTGGGCTGAGAGAAGACTATCCTAAGGACAGAGACAGAAAAACCCTCTGCTACAGCTCTGGGTTGGTGTGTGCCGCACCAGTTTGTGGAAATTCTTTTTACGTTGGAGAGAATGACCAAATAGTCAAGTTTGCTTAATGTAAGAGGAAAATATTAAAGGAAATGAGCATGCTTGATTGACACAAACCAGAGACAGGAGGAAAGAATCAACTTTCACCAAAAGGATAGAAAGAGGTATCCAAAAATGGAACGAAGAAAGTGTCCCTTATACTTTGCACAGAAAAGGATTTAGGGTCAATCTCAGGATATGCTTTCCAAGATGCACAAGGAGGAGTAGAATTCATCAACAATTTTAAAAAGAGGGTTTGAGAGCAGCTCCAAACCCTCTGCGATTATCTGCTGCAAAATTCTTTCCCATCTCAGGGGTGGTGGTGGTGGCAAGCTAACAATTATCTCCCTAAAGTGAAGAGCATGTCAGAGAACACTTCTTTCCCTATAACAGGAAATATCAGAGAAAGGTTACATGCCCAGGTAAGGCACCCACCTCCTAACAACAATCCTCAGAAAATCTACTGTTGCCCAAACATACTCACGTGTCTCCATTTTCATCCTGAGAAGCTGCAAGGTGTCTCTGCACAGCTAAAAGCATGCGAGGATCAGCGGTGACCGCATAGTCCAGGAGAGCCTGGGCACTACGGCGGGCCAGCATCCACATCCACGAGCTGCACTCCTCAGCTAGAGGAAGGCAGGGTGAAAAGAAAAGTGTTGATGCAGTCCTTGCCAGTGTAGAATGCCTCTTCTAGCATTTCCTCTCCAGTTCAATCTCCATGACACCCCTGGATGACGCCTTGTTCCAGCAGAGGAAGGGACCTGGGCTCCGAGACAAGAGCACATGCCTTGGGGGCAAAAGGATTCTAACGCAATCCCTGGTGCTTCCAGGTAAAAGCAGCCCACTTGTGATCCCAGTCTGGCTTTCTGGGGTGCTCCCTTCTCCGTGACACCACCATTTGGTGGTTTCCCAGCTTCTGTAGAAGGGTTTTTTTGTTTTTGGTGAGGGGGAGGGAGGTACATCCTAACTGCCTCTTCCTAAGGCTTTCTTCTTTGCCAGCAGTAATAGCTTTACACCATAAAGGCTGGTTGCTTTGGTCTCATCCTTACGTCTCCCCAACACTGTAAGAACTTACCTGAAATTGAACATGGTGCAATGGCACACCGTTATTTGCTATTCTGATTTTTTTTCCCTGACACTGGAAGATAGAGAAGCTATCCAGTGTATAATTATTTTGGCTGCTCTTCTATAAATATGCAAATAAAACCCACTGGAGCATGAAAGTACTGAAGAAGCCCATATGTGTATATGTGTGTGCTTGTTTGCAATCACAGTGTCATGGGTCTGGCAGTTGCCAGGGTAAGGAGGAGACTGGGTTACCGACTGATACATGCATGACTAATGACTGATATGTGCATGTCTGTGCACTCTATGTGCACTATGCACATAATGGCTGCAGGCAGTGCCACTGCCAAATCTTCAGCTGACTCCCAAGTGCCTATTAGACCCAGACCAATTAGCAGGCACTAGTCTCCCCCAGCCATACCATGCTGTAGCAGTTCTAGGTATTTCTTCTCCTCCACAAGGCTTTGGTGCTTGTCTTCTGAGACTTGATGCTCGCCCTCTTCCAGTATGGCCGTCCTAGGCATCTGGATGCCTCTCCCTCCTTGGTAACTTCCCATTGGGTGGGTGCCGGACAGGTAGATACTGCTGTTGTATGGACTGTATCCTGAAGAATGCCAGGGATTCCCGGCTGCAGGAGTCACAACAAAAGGCCATGCATTAAGAGGAGACATCTCTAGTCTTGATAGGTGGTAAATTCCCCCAAACCAGCTCTTCCAGAAGAACAGTGCCTTTTCATGCTTGCAAAATAGGCACATTAGAAGAGCACTGTGACAATAGAGGGCAACATGTGGAAAGGGTCCCTTTTTTTTCTTTGCTTTGCTTTGCTTTCTGACTTATTAATTTTAGGAGTCCTACTTGAACCTTCTGTCAACCCAGAACATTCTAGAATAGTTACCAACAGGTCACCAAATGTCTAACAGTGGCTAGTTTGCCCTCAGAAGACTATGTTACAAATTACTGTATTTTTCACACCATAAGACGCACTTTTTTCCCACAAAACAGGGGGGTGGAAAGTCTGTGCGTCTTATGGAGCGAAGAAAACAGATTAGATTTTCCTGTTTTCTTCTCCTAAAAAATTGATGCGTCTTATGGAAAGGTGCGTCTTATGGAGCGAAAAATACGGTATGTGCTAGAGCACATTCCCCTTGAAATACTAAAACAAATCTACTTGGCATGCTCATTTCACTAGGGTTACTCAATACTTCAGTGACCAAATCAAGAGGCTTTGATTTGCAAAGAGGGTTGCTATTCCTACCCTTTTTGACAATTAAGACCGCTCAGAAAATTAAGACAATGATTCATTCCTGGTACAGCCTGTGCTCAAGTACTTTGGCCTTTGGAAAGAACACATCTCCTGTGTCACTGGGGTGGGGGTGGGGGAGTATGAAGTGAACCCAAACCAGCTTATCTGTGCTGCAGAAGCCAAAATAACTTCAAAAGCAACAAAGGTTATTTAAAGAACAACATTGTTAGGTTCTTGCTAACCTTCAAATGGGGCAGACTGGCCTGCCATTGACAGCATTCATCACCACTAGATATGGTGGTTGGGGCTAAGGAGAATTTGAATCCAAAAATGTCTGGAGGGCTACATTTTGCCCATCACAAGCTACCAGCTAATTAAGTATACAAACACCCTGAAAGTGCTTTTAGTGATTCTGTTTCACACATTATCCATATCTTAAGGCTGCCATTAGCAGCCATTTGTTCTGCTTAAAGCCAGAGAATGACAGGTTAACCACCTGTAATTGCAGTTCTTCGAGTGGACCTCTATGATTCACACCATGGGTGATCCGGGCCTACACAGAGCCTCATCGGAAAATTCTAGAGCTTCTGCGGTAGCAAAAAATACATTAGAATAAGGCCCCTCCCCCCTCGTATAAGTACCTTGGCGCCAAGGCTCCCCTTTCAGTTGTGTCAACCGCCACTACATTAAGCAGAATGGGGTGAGAGTTGGGAGGATGGGGAGGATGTGTGAATCACAGAGGGTCTGTGAGCGGGCCAAAGAGGGCGAGAAACCACAACTGAAGAGATCTCATCTTGAGACGTACGTGCTGGACTACACCATGGTGCTTAGTACACGTTTTATTGGACTACACCATGGTGCTTAGTACACGTTGTATAGTTAAGGCAGGTAACATTGCATGAGGGGTGAAAATATGAAGTAATGCGATGAGATTTTCTCTCTTGTCTGGAGGAAGAAAGGCACGAGCTTGTGTGGAATCTATGCATGTGCCTATATAATGAATAATCTTTGTAGGTTTCAAATTTGATTTTTGTTTGTTGACAGCGAGACCGAGATCGTGAAGGTGGGTAAGGGTGAAGTGAGTGTCTCGTTGAGCCTTGTGACGGGAATGAGCTACAAGGAATGATTTCCCTCATCTGGATTAGGGGGGAAATATCGGGAGGCTGGAGCTGTAAAAGCCTCGCATGTAGAAGAGAATTGCTCAACCATCCTGGATCTTTAAGTTACCAGGTAGGGAGCAGGTTGGAATCCATGCGAGGTCACAGTGATATGGCCGTTTCGACAGTGGAGCTGTAAAAGCCTCGCGTGTAGAAGAGAATTGCTCAACCATTCTGGATCTTTTAGTTACCAGGTAGGGAGCAGGTTAGAATCCATGCAGGTCACAGTGATATGGCCATTTCAACAGCGATGGCTGTCGAAATCAAGGCCTGCCATGAGGTATGGCCGAGCTGGATACAACAACTGGCTGATTGGCGGTTGCAGTTTGGTTGAGCACTGGCCGGCGCAAATGGCAATCCAATGAGAGTGCTGAACGCAGGTGAAGCAACTATGCTCAAAAGAACAGTGTTGAGGACTGGGAAGAGAAGGTGTTAATCAATCAACTTTGTCATCCCATTCTGGTGATTGGGAGCAGGGTAGATGAGATGGGATTCTGTCATCGTCAGAAGGTGAACCAATAGATTGATTTGGCGGTTTGTTGAGGCTGCTGAGAGATGACTGCAGCTTTAGATTTATGCTGTTTAGGCTTTTTAGGCAGAGAAGGAACCAAAGAGGCTTTGGTGGACATTTGACATTTAGTGGGGGGGGGAGGGCTTCGATATCGATGATTTCGGTATCAAGCACTTCGATTTATGGGCTTTTGAAGTTTTAGACGGAGCGTCTGAGTGGGATGGTATGGTTGATGGACGTTGTTTTGAGGCTTTAGGAAGAGCCTTCTCCATTGCTTTGGTTCGTGAAGTGGCCTTAAAGGAGATTGGGCCATTTTGGTTGAAGGGATTGTTCCCAAAAATGGAGTTTTAATTTGGATAAGCGAGAACAGAGGACTTTGCGCTTGAAGTTCTTACAATGCTGGCAGGAGGACGTCTGGTGCGCCTCCCCCAAACAAAAAAGACACTTGGCGTGGCCATCGGAGAGTGGTATTTTGTTATCACAGACCACACAGTGTTTAAATGGGCCCAAAGGGGCCATGAATAGGAGAATATAATTTGAGGAGAAAAAGCGATGATGGAGGGGGGGATGCTGCGGCCAGAGGCTGAGCGAAGGACAAGGGAAAAAATCTCTGGTGATAATGAATTTGTATCTAAAAGTTTAAAGGAAAAAAGACTGACAACAGGAAGGAATCAAGAATAAACTCTCTTTTACTCACAGAAGCAGAACTATGAGGCTCTCAACGCAGCAGTTGAAAGAAACTGAAAGGGGAGCCTTGGCACCAAGGTACTTAGATGACGGGGGAGGGGTCTTATTCTAATATGTTTTTTGCTACCACAGAAGCTCTAGAACTTTCCAATGAGGCTCCGTGCAGGCGCGGATCACCCACGGTGTGATTCACAGAGGCCACGAAGAAGAAAGAAGTGTTACCGCGTTAAAGAAGAAAAAAATATGTATGCCACATAGTGTGGTTCACAGAAGCCACGAAGAAGAAATAAGTGTTACCGTGTTAGAGAAGTAAAAAATATGTATGCCACATGCATTATATTTTTCAGGCACTGACTGCAGCAGCATCTCTCCACCAAACTCTAAGCAGAGTCCTTCTACAACTACATCAGGATTCTTCTGAAGATTATTTCCAACCTTCCCCCTTACGCTAATGTATACAGATGCCCATCATGTAGGAAAGAACCCACTAAGTGTCAAAGGTAGCCATTTGATGACAGAGAATTAAAGGAGTGATAAAAGATAGGATTACTACCATTATGAAACAGAAGACGGTGACAATGAGGGAAACAAACAGAACTACTGTATCTCCAGTGAAGCACATGTAGGCTAACAAAACAGCCAAGGAAAGAAATAACTGAAGTATATAACTACATAGCTGTTTATGTTAGAAAAGCCACCTAAAGATTCAGCACAGGTGGCTGGTAGATGACCGGAGCCTAGAACAGCTGAAGGAACCTTTTGCATCTTCCTTCACTGCAGAGGCGGGTGCTGGGGACAGACCCACCAAGGAACTGCTACTTTGGGGGATGCACGTGAGCCATACCACAGAAGGCAAGAAAAGGTCAAAAGCTGCAATCCTATACACCATTATGTGGGAACAAGCCTCTTAGCTGTAGGAGGATTTGTTTCCAGGTATATACAGGACTGAGAAGCAACTGCAAATTTGGGGGGGGGGGGGAGAGAGAATCAACAATTTGCAAAGGTGGGAGATGGGAGAGCATTCATACAAGAGTTCTAACAATGGCTGGGCACCCTCTCCCCAAGGAAAAAATAAATAGCAGAATTCCCTCACTCTGCCACTCATGCACACACACACACTCAAAGGAACAAACCTTAAGTTACAGCCAACTGATGAGGAATCCTTAAATTGAGTGTATCTTATTATTCTATTATCTATTTAAAATCAAGACTAGATTGCTTCATCAGCCAACATTCCTCAAGAGCTGGCACTCACATATATCCAAACCCACTTACCACAGTTCTTACCAATCTTCTCACTTTGATCACACCCATTTACAGAATAATCTCTCAGCCAACAGCTCTGAGAACACTCTTCACTCCATTTAACAGAGATTGATTACCTCTGGACCATCTAACAACCCACCAATTCTCACAAGCTGGATAAAAAGTGAAAACATCCACCCTCCAATTGCTCCTGTAGAAAGGTAATCAAGAAGAGGCCACTGGAAAGCAGAGAAAAAGAATCAAGGAATTCGGAGCACGAAAACAGCTGGAAACAGAATGTATGTGGGGTGGGGAGAGAGATGGCTGGCTACCAAAAGTTTAAAAAAATAAGCACATTTGCTTATTCACTGAACTATTATTAAGGCAATATATAACACCACTAGCTGGCTGAACAGTTCATTGGTTTAAGTATTTGCCTGCCAGAAGTTGAAGAGTCTGATTCCCCACTGTGCCTTCTGCAAGTAGAGTCAGCCTATGTGGCTTCTGGCAAACTGCACAGTCCCAGGGTGCCCCCAGAAGAAGTTAATGGTACACCACTTCTGTCTATTCTCTAGCTGGAAAACCCTGATCAGGGTCACCGTAAGTCAGAATGGACTTGACAGCACATGATTATTGCTATCATTATTATTGTTGTAACATCCCTAAAATCAGTCTCTCTCTCAAAAGATGGAAGACTGACTGACTGACTGACTTTCCACTCCTATTAGTGCCAAGGCTCTACTCTGGGCAGTTACAACAAATATTACACAAAAAAATAAAGATAAAAGAATTAAAAACAACTACAATTGACCCTTAAAAACAGAAAGCACAGACCGATCACTTAAAACCTCCAGTGGATGGGGGAGATGCGGGGGGAGGAATGAAATCTAAAGTCACAGGCAGCCTGTGAAGATTTGAGCACTGGACTAAACTGGGTTCCTGGCCCATTCACCAGTGGAAATCCCACTTAAAGTCTCCTCTGAACCCTTCACAGAACTGCCAACTGTGGTATGCCTTCTTTCTGCAACCATCAAGACCAGAAATGGAGGACTCTCATTTTCTGAGTTTTTTCCCCCAAAAGCTAAAACTTCCATAAATTTGAAGGAACTACCAGAACCCATATACTGTTGCAGGTTAACACTGAAAAAGGTTTCATTGCAAATTAACAGACTGCACGAGAACAGGTTCAACCCCACAAAGCCCCCATAAAGGAAGACAGCTTTTACCTCCACCGGAACCAAATCCACCAGCTCCACCACCAGAACCTCCCATAGGTGCACCTCCACCAAAGTGTTGAGGGAATTGAGGCAAAGTCTTCTTCCGCTTCCTTTCCACTTCTTCCTTATCTGCAGCCAAAAATACAAAGCTATGGTCAAGGACAGGTCTTGCCCAGCAATTAAGCAACAGAAGGAGCACATCACCTGGAGTGCTTTGTACCTTCCACCACCGGGTAGTAGGTAAACTGCTTGGAGTCACTCACGTCACCCCCTCGCTTGCGCTTCAACTGGAGGAACACAGTGACCGGGCGGTCGATCTTGGTCTTGTGGTAGGGCGGTGTGCGGAATACAATAGCGTACTGCAGGGACATAAAGCATGGGAGGGGGCAGGGAGAGACGTCATGCCACATGGCCAGATCATCCCTTCAGTCCAGTTACACTCCTGTCAATACAGCACTTTGTCAGGTCCTTTATCCATCCTCACACCCAACCCTATGTGCCATATTCCCATTTTAATCAAGTGCACAGAAAGAGATATGTTCCAGTCACATTTCTAATTATTAAAATACTCAAATTGGCAGACTGAAAAAAAGGTAAGCCTCTAGAAGAAAAAAAGTAGTATGTTGATTAAGGGCAAGACAGTTCAAACTGGAACCCTCAATTCTGTTAAAAATCATTTTTTTAAAGTGTTTTTATCATGCTGGTAAAAAATAAACAAGGCTGCAGCCTGATGAGACTCCTGGGTCAGAAATTCTACAGGAAGGGCACCAATCCCAAAAAAATGTATCCACTGCCCCCATTATTTTCATGCTGGAAATGGAGAAACCTGGAGCCAGTTGGGGCCTCCTTGCTAAATGCTAACGGTCAGAAACTCTACACAGAAATTAAGCTCTTCTATACATAAACTGCATCCAAGGTTTTAGCTATTCATTCCCAAAGCATGAGATGGATAAGTTCTCCACCACTATATTTCGTACCAGCTGCAGGTTACAAATAATGTCAAGACAGTCCTACATAAAAAACACAGTGATAACCACAAGATGGATGTTGCCACAATACAGCACTGTTTTGGCAGTACCAAACACTACTGTTGGCCTGCTTAAAATCCACTGCCCACTGTTTAATCAAGGGTACAAGAGGGTTGCTAGAATATACTCCTCGTCCTTCCACAAGGAGGCAAATCTATAGTGCAGCAGGTCCTTTAGCTTGCTCTCCAGGGCCACCACTTAAGGCTGGAAAAATGCACTTCTCCCTCTATGGAATTCTCCATTGACTTAGATTGTCCCTTCATTATGCCTTCCATCAGGACAACCAAGCCCTGGAACATTGGGATCTTCTGGCCAAGGAAGGTTTTCTCCCTTAGTGGGTTGTACTCTCAAAGCTTGAGGACCCAATGAGGTCTGCTTGACCCATAATGTCCCACTCTTCTCTGCCCAGAGAAGAAGCCTCACCAAAGAAGTCTCCAGAGCCAATTTATGGAGTGCCCCTTTTGTTGCTCCAGCACTCACTCTTTCAAAGAGGTAGAAAGCAGAGTTCCATTCAGCTGCCACATCCTAGATTAGGTGGGCAATAGCAACCTCAGTTTTATTTACCTCTGCTGCAACAGCCCAGTGACCCAGACACTGTGCACTACCCTGTGGCTAAGGGTCTTTCAGGATGGTAATGGGGTGCCAGTTCTGCCACAAACCTATGGAAACCAGTGTTCTCCACCAGCAAAAATGGCTAGTCATCTGGAGCCGTCATCACTCCTAGGCAATGAGTAATCCTGGAATTTGTACATTTGCAAAGTTCTTTTCCTGCACCCCTCCAAGCTTCTCCAGAGTAGCCTGAATTCACTCTTGAGACCTTGTCTGGCATTTGCTGCCTCCCACCTCTTGCTACAGTATTTGCCCATCTGCTTCTCTGCTTCCCTGGGCTGATGGCTCAACCTCTGATGACTCTTAACCTTCACAATAAGGAAGCCGCTTGTCCCCATAGTAACCACTGAATTTGCCAGCAGCAGTGCCCTGTGCTGAACCCAGGTGGCTGAGTATGCTTCTATTGGAGAAGTGGCCAAAGTCACACTCGAGCACCCGCTCACAGAGCATGCACTCAGCCATGCAAGCCTCTTTTCCATATTCTTGTAACACTTCTTAGGCATTCCAGTTTTTGATTGCATGTTCCAAACAGGGATTGTTAACTTGTCATCACTACTACTTCTGGCAACTGGTGGGACAAAAGATGAAGGGGGGGGGGGCAAATCTCCATGCAATAGCAAATCATCAAGTCCAACAAGTGATTTGCACATAGCCACATAAAACGAATCTTTGAATTAATCCTAAATCCAAGTCTTAATGCTGACTCTCATAATAAAAAAACATACCTGTTTGTGCACATCAGTGGGGGAAAAATCCCCAAAGGCCTGCCAGCCATTCTCATCATCTTCATAAAACCGTACCTCAATATCATCTAGAGAAGGAAGAAAAAGGCTCACCAGTACAGTATTTGCACTTGTGCCGCCCGCCCATCGTCACCATCTCGCAAATTTAGGAGCAGAAGAACCATCACCCTGGACCAGAGTAAAGACCTATCCAGCCCAATATTCTGTTCACACAGAGGCCGACCAGATGTCTACTGAGAACCCACCAGCAGGAGACAAATGCCACCTGCACACCCCTATCTCACACTCCCTAGCACTGTACACAGAAGCACAACTGCCTCTGGTACTGGAGGTGATATATAGCTGCCCTAACTAGCAAAGACTGGTGACATCAAAACTAGAACAGAGCCACTTTTTAAGAAGATACCCATCCTCACATCTCAATCTGCTGGTGTGGTCATACCTTCTCATTGCAAGCAACACACTCACTCCGTACTGCACAAGCACTGCCCATCTAAACCACCACCATCATCCTTACACTTTAGCCATGAAGTATAGTGGACTCTGGTTTCCAAAAACACTCTAAATCAGCCACTGGGACTTTTCCCCATTATCACCACTGCCATCCAGACCAATATTCTCTGAGAAATCACAGCACAGAACCTGTCTTCCAGACCATTTGATTTACCTGGGGCAGAGTATCTCACTACAAAAATAGAGGACTGCCTTCTCTCCATCAGAATAAACCAATGTCAGGAATAAGGGACTGTGAGAAGAAAACATCTCACATTTAAATTCAGAACGATACAGGTGTTCTTGAACGCTTCCTCCTACCCACACCCTTAGTTTCCCTTAGCTGTCTTCAGCCTTCACCTCCTTTCTCCACAGCAACAGCAAATGCTCTTTCTTCATTATTTCCACTGCATTATTTCCAGTGGAAGTGGGTCATGGGATTTTCAGGCCCCATTTGAAAGTGAACCTCTGCCAACACTGCCCATACCTACATCTTCTAGGGCAAGCCTGGGTCATTAACACAGCAAAAGTACAAGACACATGCTGCCATTTGGAAGATCGCACCACAATGAAAGAAGACATAATACTGTGAAAAAGAGAAACAGTCAAATCACTGGCACGCCTAGTTCAATGTTTTGCTCCGTCCAGATCTCTGAAGAGCACAAGGTACTAGGTCCATTCTAGGCAGAATGAACATTAAGATGCACTATATGCAGGGTCTCAGCTGTTGATCCCCAAAACACACACAAATGAAATGGAAGGATGCTGAACGAAGAAAAAGCAGCAAGGGAGAGCGCTTACCTTTCTGGACTTTATCACACAGCAGGTAAACTTCATCCCCACCTCGCACAGAGCCAGCTGTCTTATCCATCCGTGAGATCTTTAGGTTGGAAGCTCCAGGAGACTCTAAAAAGAAAAAGAAAGTTGCACAAACAAGACACAAATGGCATAAATAGTGTATGTTTGCATATCACTGTACTTAATGCAAGAGAAGCAGCATGGGTCACAATAATGGTTCTAATTTGTAAGCCAGGGTTTTGCAAGTGAGGACTAGCTCTAGCAACCACCATCATTAGCTCTTCCCTTGTCAATCCTCTGGTGCAAGCATATATAGTTCAGGGAAGGAGTTCGGCTCCCATTCGTGCCATCAGGTGCAAAAACAGCCTGAATCCTTCACCCTTCATGTGAGTCCCTTTTGGAGAGGCCTCCTGTCATGCCTGGCCTGAGTAGATTTAGGGCTGCTGCTGGCTACCTGATGTAGACCTCTTTTTCCAATGTGTTAAATCTCTTACACAGATAGTGGGTGGAGCACAGATTATTAGTACTCTATAATGTGAACAAGGCCCAAAATACCTACCCCAGCTCACCAGACCCCTTTGGAAAAGCAGGAAAGGCTACAATCACAAAGAGATGTTTTACTCTGGATCCTTAATGCGGATGCAGACATCATAATATCATAAATGGGACATACACTGAAATCTAACTTCCCAATCAGCATTTGCTTACAACTAGACAGAATATACTGTAATAAACATGCACCCAAGAAAAGATTTATATGTTCACACAACCTGCATAATTACTTAGGAGTTTAGGTGTAGACAGCCAGAGTTTCAGACACAGACCACTTTGGAAAAGCAGAGACAGGGGAGCAAATAAACCCATTCCAATAAGCTGGCATAGCAACCGCCGCCACTTCTCTGAACAGGACTGGAAGCCTCAGCTGTAGGAGACTGGCACAAACTCCAGTTCATGCCAGTCTCTGAGTAGGTGCTCACCAGAGGAGGCAGAGCTGAGAAGCTCCAAACACCTGTTTGGCTGAAAAATAAACAAGCACAAACCACCGAACCAGTCATTCATGCTCATCTCTAGCAGTTATGCCCTAAGACAAGAAAGACAGACTCACTGCTATCATGAATTGGGTCTGAAATAACTGGCTTCAATGCCAGAGTGAAGTTTCCGCTGCTGTCGCGAAGGTAGGCACTGAAGCGCAACCGAACAATGCTGAGATCCATTGTCTTTTTCAGCTCCTTTGCCTCTTGCTCAATTGCTTCTTGCTCAGATTCTGTCAAAACAGAAATCCTCCATTTTAAAGGCCTGAGAGATCAGACCAAGAGACTAAAATGGGAGCCATGAAGCCCAAGTTACATATCACCCTCCCAAACAGACTATATAGATCCTTACAAAAGATGGATCTGGAAATAACAGAAGTCGACCTGAAGTAACTTCACACATCATACAAACTTGTGCTCCGAGTGTCACATTCAATGCCAGCAGGAACAATGATAGGTTCATGTGGATTCATTAGGTCTCTGTAGCAAAGATCCCTTGGGAGCAGATTTGACTTCTGAACATCAAGGTGCATACCATTCCCACAGTCCTGCTGGAAGTGTAGAGTTTGTATTCTATATGATACTAGACTCCTCCACTAATGGTTTACATATTCTCTTTTCCCTCATCCTTGGGGGTCCTCCTCTCTAACACTGTTTCGTCTTTGCAAGATGCCTGGACTTTTGAAAACACATTGTTAGAAGTTGGGGTCCCAAACAGATCCCAGCTCTTGGTTTGTTGTTCGGGTCCTTAGAGAGCTGAAGGTCTCTTGCCTTTTCTTTTACATCAGAGAGAAGGAATGATGGCTGACTAGGGGCTGTTGACCTGCAACTCTCATGCATTGATTATAATAGCTAGGGTTCATGGGAGAGGAGGACCACATGTTGCCTTCCCATCTTATACAATTATTTTTTAAAAAAACTTTCAAAGTGTTCATAATCCTTACCACATTTCAGTAAGATATGGGAAGAGTCAACTCTACCAGTGGGAGACTGAAACAAAGATGTGATGAATTACCAAAAGCCACTCTCCTGTGCTCATGGTAGAAACAAGGTTTAAACCTAAACATATTTGTAACTGTTAACTGCATAAGGTCTACAACTCTTTCTGCAGCTTCCTAGATGAAATGTGTGTAGAGAAAATCTTCTATTTTATGGTGGTTGTAGGTTTTTCAGGCTTTTTTTGGCCATGTTCTGGAGGTTTTTCCTTCCTAACATTTCACCAGTCTCTGTGACTGGCATCTTCAGAGGACAGGAGTTAGAACTCTGTCTGTGAACACAGACTCCAGCCGTGAAAGCCTTCAAGAATACATCTTCTGTTTTATATTCATGCATCTGAAGAGGTGGGTTTTGCCTTCTGATCCATGAAAGCTTTCTCTGAAATAAATCTGTTAATCTGTAAAATGCTACAATATTTTTCATCCCCTCCCTCTGCCATCCCTATTTTTGCTAAGATCTTTTTTGGAAACTGCAAGAAACTCTGTCACTCAGCTGCTCATTGGCTGAGATCTTTTCATTTAAAAGGTTCGCCATGTTACTCTGCTGCTGCTAAACCAGACTATCCTGAAGCACCTTTAAGACTACCATGTTTGCTTAAGGAGGAGATTCTCCAGACAGTCTGGTACAAAATGGTCCCTGGACACTCCAGAGCTACCCAGCCCAACACAGGTGTCCTACAGGGAGAGTAAATGACCTAGTATATATGTTCAGTTGCTGTTCACATAGGGGAAGGAGAACAGATACATATCATAGAGCTGTTAAGCAGTAGCAAACACACAGGCAGCATCAGTTGATCTGTTCCTGCATAACTATCCTATTCCATCTAAAAGAAGTCTGAAAAGGGGCAAGAAGGCCCACACAGTGCCCCAAGATCAACCATGAAAGCAGACAACCTCCATCTTCTAGATGCCTGACACATACATATGCATGGCTTCCCTTCCTGTTCAAAATCACCTGTCAAAGGCTGCAGTCTGTTTCGCATCCTTTGCTTCTGCACTTTAGCTCTGATAATCTCCATCATGTTCTTCTTAGTCACATGGAGCACTCCCAGATTATTAAACCTGAAAAAGGACACAACACCATCTCATGTCAGTAGGCGTGACAAAATTATAACAGCAGCCATCAAATTCCCCAAGAACACAAGCACAAGGTCCCAAGTACCACTACTGGAGCTGAAAATGTTTTGCAATTTAATAGACACCACGTACTAACAAAAAGAAACCATACAAAGGGCCAAAAAAGTAGTACACCCCACATCCCAGCAAGGTTTTATGCATGCACACACACCTCATCAAATTCTATGAGGGGATATGTCTTTGATCCTTCTCTATAAATCTCTCCCCACCAGACAACTGCATCCCCCCCCCCCGCCGCCAATAACCTAAGGGGATTTTTTGCAATTGTTCCAAAGAATCCCCTGCCAGATCTATATAACTTCAGTTGGGAATACCAGAAACATGACTTGTTGATCTAGGAGATGCTGGGGAGGTCAAGGCAGCCACATTCTTGCACTTCAAAATGTTGTGGAGTTGAGCGGTGCAGCCACCACTAAAAGCCAAGCCCAAGGCACAAAATGGTGAGTAAGCACTGAAGATGCCAGCAAGTCCATTTTGCTCAACCCAACTCAGAGAAATTGACCTGATGTCACAAAAGAAGCCTTGCCCTCTGCACCACCATCTCTGCTGCCACCACTCCTGCCAGGTTCATACATACTGGGCAGTCATGTCCTTTGGGCCCACCGTCACAATGCAGTTGCCATCGTCGTTGCACTGCTTCCCGACCAGGCTGTGGGCATGCACCTGGGGAGGGTCTGTATGAGTCACTAGGTCCACTTCTATCCGGGCCATTCCAGCATAATTAGAGATCTGCCAAATAAGAGGAAGAGGATGAGAGCCAGAAGTATCATGGCATCTTACAAAGCTGGGGGTGGGGTGGGGTTTGTAGCCTTTTAAATCCTCAGAATGCTTTCCTCAGCAGCATTCCCAGGAACAGGCTATACTGGCCCAATTCAGGCAGAACACGGAGCCTCAGTTTTAGCAGAAAGATGGACAACTTCCCTGGTTGGAGTGATCACATGCCCCCCCTCCCACACACATTGTTCCATCACTGCTACAATGACCTGCCGCTGCAGCTGTTTTCACTGACAGAATTTCAACAAATTTCCCTGGGAACAAGATATGTGAGAGTGGGCATCTCCCCACCACCACCACCACCACCACAGTGCTGTGCTCCTTGTAGCCTGAGGAGAGGGCAAAAATGGGAGGGGAGTACGTGCATGGCAGGTGTTGCTCATCCCTGACTAAAGATTATGAGAACACGCTTAACTGTCCCAGGACACATGACCCCATCCCACCCCCGACCTGTTTGGGATCTCTTGCATCTTCTTTATTAATGCACATTAACATGTCATCTGAATCTAGACCAACTGTGCCTACTCTTAACCCAGGATGGGGAACTCATCTAGAAACATGAAAGAGATTTACCTCTTCCAATTCCCTGCTGATTTCAGAGCCTCTGTAGTTACAGCACCAATCCATCCCAATGCTATCCGTGAAGATCTGATTTTGCTGCTTGCAAATCAAAGCAGGAAGGTACAAGGACCTTTCTACAACCACCAGTAGGTGCCTGAAAATGTTGCCTGTTCTTCACTTTCCCCTATCAGGACAGCACACTAAAGGTCCCTCTAATTATCTCTGATTTGGGATCAGAGATAGCAGCAGGGAATCCCCCTTGTGCTGTTGAGTAGCCCAGGGGAATCCCCTCTGGTATCTCCAGTCACAGATCTACCCGGGTATCTCCCCCTACTCTGTTCCCTGTTGGAAGAGCAAGTGAGATGGGGTGGAATTTCCCAGGGGTAAGGGCCCTGGGGGGTATTCCCATGACCTTTCACAGGTCAGGAGAGGACTGTTCACAGGCAAGACTAAGCAAGCATGCCATTAGGTCCTCATCTCCTGCTCTTCATGATGGCTAACAGAAAACAAAGACAGTTTCAAAGCATGGTTTGCAAGTCTGGCTTATTGCCACCAACAGTTATTGAGATAAAACACACTTTGGCATCAGACAAAATCCTATTAGATAAATTTACACTGGCATAAACAGAATCTGATACCTGAAAAAAACTGAAACAATCTGAAACCTTCCTAATTCCCCAGGCTCCAAAGCTCCCTATTTATTTATTTAAAATGATAAAAATTAGAAATAAGAAAAGATTAATAACATAACTGAGATTAGTTTGTTTGTTAAACAAAAACCAGCGGAAGCAAAATGAACATTTTCCCATCTGCTGTTCAGCTTTGCAAAAAGTTCTGAGAATGACTAGAAGGGGAGAAAAGGAAGATAATTAACAACCTAAATTAGTTGTTTAACCTCTGAAGCAAAGACAGCCATCACCAACATGCAGCAAAATAGAAGCTTGCTGCTGAAGAACTAGATAATTATCTTCAAATGCAGTCCCACAAGTCCTGTTCTTACACACTACTTTTAGGCACTGCCACCCCTTAAAAATATGATAGTACTACAGTTGAAAGGAATCTTCTCTCCCTAGAGTTCTGTTCCTGTGTTTTCCTAAACATGGGGAAGGGGCAGGCATACAAGTCTTTCTCCCTCAGCATCTACGTACACAGGATCTCCTTTTTAGGCTTCTGCACAGCCAAAATAAACATCTAAAAAGCTTTTCTACATGTTTTCCACAGAAAACACTTTAAAAAGTGTGTGTGCAAGTGGGGAATCTCCCAGTCATACCAGAGCTTTCAAGCATGCCCAGTCAAATGTATCCCCTCCAAAGGCCCATGCAATAGACATAAAGGTCTAAAGAGGAACTGCCCACAAGGACATGTTTAGAGGAATGCCGGGAACAGGACTAATCTAGACTAAGCCCTGTGCGGCTACACTGCCTAGCCCAATAAAGAGCCCTTCAAAACTCCTCTGCCTGCCCAGTGCCTCCTCAACACTAATGCATAGACTCTCACCTATGTAGGCCAAGGGTGGAGGAAAGGTGGCCTGTGGGCTGCCTACAGTACCCAAAGCTGTTTTGGACACTCCCCAGAGACCATTGTAACTCCTCACCCAGAAAAATATACTTTCTAAACTTTTTATTTTGCGCCAAAAAAAGTGCAGCTTCTATTTCTGCAACCTGGCATGACAGTTTTTACAGTGGGAAGGATCAGTATCTTTAACCTCCCCCCCCTCCAACCAGTCACTTCGCATTGAGATATTTCTTCGAAACTCTGGCCATTTAGAACCATTTCTGGGCTGGAAAGAGTGCTGGAGGGAAAGCCTTTCTACCAGCCCCACCAAGTTTGTCCATGGCAATGTACACAACTATATGCAGCCTTATCTTGTTCTACTTTCTCCAGTGCTGGCTCCCCGCCAACTCTTGCTTCCTGTCTTTCCCAAGTTTGGAAACTAAGCAGTTTCTAAACCTGCCTCTCTACTACTCCTTTCCTATACAGCCCCCCCCCCCAAATCCATTCTGATTTTAAGCACTGGGAAGTTCTGGGGGATTCTAGGTACTCTATTCTTGCCTCCTCCCTCCCTCCTTCCTCTACCTCTTCCACATGCCTTGTACACCACTTGCCCTTCTTTCAGATTATTCCCTCTCTGGGTGTGGTCACAAAGGAAAACAGACTACACACTGACTGCTTGCGGAGTGGTTCGGTGCTATTTATTTGTCTGTGATCACATGACACATAGGGAAATGTGCTCTGCCTGGCCCTACTCCATGCCCAAGCACCACATTTTTTGGTCCAGCTGGAGGGCTTCTACTTTTGACCGCCAGGATGGAGAGATTCCCTAAGCAGACAGAAGGGATGGGAAGTTATGATGGGAGATCATTTCCATGAAACCAACCCTTTCCGGTACTATCAGGTACATGCCTTTGCATCCGTCTGCTTGTACCCTCGGTCTACTGCCTCCTCTATTCTGTTCTAATCCCTCCTTTTCCTTTGAGCTTTCTTTCTTGGTCGCTTCTCAGCACTCAGGCTGCCCCACGTGAGGACTTCACACAGCCAAAGAGGTTTTGTTCCTGGAGCAAAGCTTTTGTTCCAAGACATCACGTCAGCTCAGTGAAAACTGAGATGCCATTTTTGCAAGAGCAATATATTTACCAGAAGTTATCCAGAAAAGCCAGAAGTAGCTAAAGAGGGTGCATCACTGACACTTTATACTACAATAGAACTCCCTCTATCTGCAGGGCCAATCTACACAGCCAAAGAGGTTTTGTTCCTGGAGCAAAGCTTTTGTTCCAAGACATCACGTCAGCTCAGTGAAAACTGAGATGCCATTTTTGCAAGAGCAATATATTTACCAGAAGTTATCCAGAAAAGCCAGAAGTAGCTAAAGAGGGTGCATCACTGACACTTTATACTACAATAGAACTCCCTCTATCTGCAGGACCAGTCTTTGCAGTTTCACTTTTCTGTGGACTGCTGTAACCCAATATGCAACATAACAAGGGGGATAGCCTTGTGGCCTTTGTCCTATTTATTTATTTATTTACTGTATCTGGTCATTGCAACCACTCTAGGAGGCTTTGTATGTTGTTTTTTCTTGGTTGCTTCTCAGCACTCAGGCTGCCCCATGTGAGGACTTCACACAGCCAAACAGGTTTTGTTCCTGGAGCAAAGCTTTTGTTCCAAGACATCACGTCAGCTCAGTGAAAACTGAGATGCCATTTTTGCAAGAGCAATATATTTACCAGAAGTTATCCAGAAAAGCCAGAAGTAGCTAAAGAGGGTGCATCACTGACACTTTATACTACAATAGAACTCCCTCTATCTGCAGGGCCAATCTTTGCCCAGAATATCACTGGGCTCCAGCTACCAACCCTGGATGACATCTTCACATCCCGCTGACTGAGAGACTCTTCCCATCCTGCTTACAACTTTTTTTAAACTGTTGCCGTCTGGCAGCAGGTATAGAACAATTAAGACTAAGACCACACGTTTTCTGAATAGTTTTTAACCCAGAGCTATAACTGCACTTAATAATGAACTTAAAGACCACCAGCAGTGAACAGTTGGACAGTGTTATTTAACCTGTGGTGCAGATGTTTGTGTTCTTAGTGGGGGATTTTTAGTGGGTGGGGAGAGTTTGGGGATTTTTTATGTGTGTGCATGTGGGTCTGGTCTCTGGGTGTCTTGTGTGAATTTCACTGTATGTGTATACTATGTATATACTTACAATGACAATAAATTTATTTGATTTAATTATTTGATTATAAAATTCAGGCATCCATGGTAGATTGTGGAACCAAACTCTTGCAGATATGGGGGTCCTACTGTACTTGGGAAAAGCACAAAATATTTATCTACCCATCAAAACAAAACAAAAAATCCTGAGTTAGACAGAGTACTCTGCCATACTCATCTATCAGGTTTAAACTTATTTTAAAATGTTCAAATGAAGCAAAATTAAACCCAGCCCAAATAACTTCTTTAAAAAATATTTTCTTAAATATTTCCAAGCAATGTGATACTTACCTTGACAGTGGGGTAAGTTTTGTGTCCCTTCTCACTCGATGCTCCAGGCAGCCCACCATGTGAAGGGCCTTCACAACCATATCGAAACCTAAAACCTCGCTGCCAAAGATGAACATCAAAAACAAAAATATCACATCAGAGGGGCAATCAAAACAGGATGGCTGTCAGGAAAATTTTTCCACAGGATATAGTTGGGGGAACCTAGCACCCTCACCTGCTTTGGCTGTTCAATTATGGTGAGAAAAGGACCTTCAGCTGAGAATTAAAGAAAAGAAAATATCTTAGAAGAATCAATATTGCACATGACCACATATAACTGACTTAAAGGAGACTATCTGTACAATCCAAAATGCACATGCGGAATTGAAAATGCACTCTCACCCACAACCTTGCAGTACCACCTACAATTTTCCTTCCTTAGCCATATCTGTAGCTCACTCTACACATGGCTGCCTTTGGAAGCTTCAGTGGGTCCCCAACACTGCAGCCAGATTGTTAACTGGGGCTGGTTAGCAATTCCACTGCCAATCTGAGGCAGAATTTAAAGTGCTGGTTCTATTTATTTATTTATTATTGGATTTATATCCCACCTTTCTAGACTGGAGTCTACTCAGGGCGGCTCAAAATATATTGTCGACAAACAAATAAAAACAACAATTAAAATTTACAATAATAATAATAATATGATCAAGATGGGAGGATAAACAACAAAAGCAAGAAAGTACAATCAAGAATTGCCAGGAGGGACGGCCTGCCTAAAGAGCCAAGTTTTTAATTGACTCTTAAAAACACCCAGTAAGGGTGCCAGGCAGATCTCTGGCGGCAAGCTGTTCCAAAGTCGAGGGGCCACCACCGAGAAGGCCTGGTTTCTTGTTCTTTCTTTTCTGGCCTCTCTCAACATCAGGCCCTTCAGCCATCTTTCCTGGCTCTGGTGAGTGACTTGAGTAGATCTAGGTAGGAGAAGGCGTACTGCCAGGTATCCAGGTCCTTAACCATTTAGGGCTTTATAAGTAATCATTAACACTTTGAAGTCACTGCGGAAACGGATGGGCAGCCAACGCAGAGCTGCCAGAATAGGAGAGATATGCTGGAATTTTCTCACTCCACTAAGTAATCTGACTGCCGCATTCTGCACCATTTGAAGCTTCCGCATCAATCTCAAAGGTAGCCCCACACAGAGTGCATTACAGTGGTCTAATCTCGAAATTACAAGCGCATGGACCAGATTGGTGAGAGCCCCACCATCAAGATAGGGATGCAGGTGGGCAATCTGCCACAGATGGTAATTGGCGGAGCAAACCACTGACGCCACCTGGGTTTCCATGGTGAGCGCCGGGTCTAGATGTACTCCCAAGCTGCGAACCTCATTCTTCGCGGCAAGAGTCCCCCCCCCCCAAAAGTGAGGAAGTTTCCCAAGCCGCTAATGGAGCGGCCCCCCACCCTCAGGACCTCCGTCTTGTCTGGGTTCAGCCTCAATCCATTCCCCCGCGTCCATTGCAGTACGGCCTCCAGGCAACACTGAAGGGACAGAACGGCATCCATTGAAGAAGGTAAACAGGAGATGTAGAGCTGCATGTCATCAGCATACTGATGGCACTAAAACCGAACACCCCGATGACCCCACCCAGTGGCCTCATATAGATATTAAACAGCATTGGGGAGATGATCGAGCCCTGCAGAACCCCACAATTGAGACTCCACAGGGCCGAAACACTCTCCCCAAGCTGAACTCTCTGAGGACGCTCCTCCAAGCAGGATCGGAGATAGGCAAGTGCCAGGCCACTGATTCCCAACTCGGAGAGCCTCCCCAGGAGGATACCGTGGTCGATGGTATCGAAGGCGGCTGAGATATTGACGAGGACCAACAAGGACATTTTGCCCGTCAACCTCCCTCAACAGGTCATCCAACAGTGTGACCAGTGCCGTTTCTGTGCTGTGGCACGGCCTGAAGCCCGACTGCAATGGATCCAGGGCATTGGATCCATTCCAGTTCTAACCTATAAAACCATAAGCGGCCTGGATCAAAGCTATCTCAAGGACCACATCTCCTTTATGAGCCTTCCTGGGTGTTAAGATAATTAAAGGAGGCCTTTCTCTCAGTCCCACTAATCTCACAGGTGGTGCTTCATGGGGGATACAGGAGAGAGCCTTCACTGTTGCTGCTCCCAGACTCTGGAACTCCTCCTACAGGAGGCCAGGCTGGCCCCATCTTTGCTGTCCTTCTACAAACAGTTGAAAACCTTTCTCTTCAGACAAGCTTTTCCTAAGTTACTGGCTGTACAGAAGACAATAAACAGGATGTGTTTTCTTTTTGCTTCTAAATTTGTTTCTTGTAATGTTTTTACCTATCATTTGTATTTTAATGTTATTAATTCTTCTTTACTACTTGAATAATTTACTGTTTTCAGCTGTTAACATTGTATTCTTAATGATGTAAGCCACTTTGGGTCCTTTTTTTGGCAAACATGGGGTAAAAATATTTTAAACAAACAAATAAACCAATCATTGAATGGTTTTTTTTTACCTGTCTCCATAATCTGCTCCTTTGGTTCAATCAAATGGGAGCCAAACTGGAAGTCGTCATAATCTATCCCATCCAAGCACTGCATATAGAATAGAATCAAAGGGGTGGGGGGAAACCAATGCATAATCTATAGAATACATAACCCCTAAACCAACATATAATGTAAACAACTTCTGAACACAACCTTGGTAGGAACAAATCAGGAACAGCAGTTCAGTGAAGCCTCTACTAACATACCAAAGAACACTTTTTAAATGAAAACGTGGGGGGGGGGGGGTGAGAAGGCTGGGAATTCTTTTTCCCCATATGTTAGTGAAGAACACCTCCCTTACAAAATAGTTAATACACCTACAAAATAAAGACAATACACAAACACAGTGATTACACTTCTAGAGTAGCTGTGTTGTGGAACCAGGGCCTGTAAAATAAATTATAGATACCACATCATCTCCCCACTTCCTTTCACATCCTGCACCCACTTCCCTGTTCCTTCTGTACTCAGCAATCCTCCAGCAGATGACAGAGAAATGGATTTCCCCAGGTACAGCACAATGTTGCAGGCCAGTCCTCCCTATTCTAATGCAAAGTATCTGAGGGCATCTGGATTTTGAATGAGAAAGCAAGAGTCATTGACTTTACAAAATACCTTGACATGGAGCCCTCCAGCAACCTGCATTTTTTGGACTTTCCTTATAGCACCCAGGTTGGCTGCACCGGCTGCCATGATGACCACTTGCACTTCCAAATTTAGGACCGCTTTAGAGTTTGCAAGAAACATCCACCCAACAAGCTGTTGCATGAAAATTACTCCTAGCATGCAAGAGCAATTACAGTACTCACTTAAGACAGACAACAGGCAGTCATATTTGCTACAAGGGGAAAACATAAAAACAACAGCCTAATCTCCTGCTTCATGACCATCTTGTGTGGACACAAATAATGCCATCTCTTCTCTGAACAGGTTTGTGAGGCAAACAAGAGCACATGACTGCTTCCTTATTTCTTGCAGTTCAAAAGCCCCACATGGCTTTTAAATTGCTATGCCAAAGTAGACTCTATACAACCCACAAAACTAGAAACTCCAACTGGTGAAGCCCTTGTTTCAAGCCTCTCAGGCTTATTTCATCAAGAACGCAAGGTATAAAAATACAAATGAGAAAATCTGGGATAAGAAGCGGGAAGAACAGCTGCCCTTTGCCCCAGCAAGCCAGCCTGATTTTTTCATAAACCTCAACATCAAGATCAACCGTTGGGGGGGGGGCATCCTCCAATAAACCGGCAATCCTCGGAGTAGGGCGGGGGGTGGGGTGGCCCCTGGACAAGACTTACCGCCGGGTAACTGTCGCAATCCATGGCCGCTCGAAGTAGCAACCTCGGGACCGGCAATCGGGAGCTGGAAAGGCAAAAAAGAAAAAAAAAAGAAAAGAAGCCGTCTCTGTTTCCGAAAGAGCCACGGGAGGAAACTGGGCGGGCAAGGAAACGCCGTCGGAAAGTCCCTAGAAGCCCAGCCGAAAAAGGAGGGAGGGAGAGAAGGAGGGAGAGAAGGAGGGAGGCGCTCTCCTCGGCTTCTCCCTCCCTCGAGACCTTTTCGGTCCCGTCCCCCCCTCGCCTCGGCTGACCGCTCAACTCTCAGCTCACCCACAGGGTCCCTCCACCGAGTGGGGAGAAAGGCCAGGCTTGTATCCGCCGGACGGGCCGACCGAGGGAGGTGAAGGGCGGGGAGGGTTGGTGTCCCTCAGGCGGCGGAGCCCTCGCCCCCCCCCCGGTCCGGTCAAAGCGGCGCCCAGAAGAGGGAGAGAGAGAGCCTGGTCACCCCCACCCCACCCGG